GTCGCGCAATTTTATGAGGCTCTCAGTCACTGTTGACTCCCATTTCTCTATGCCCTAGAATTCTGAACTTAAAAATGGCGCACATTGAAAATTAGCGACATACTCGCTCACTCATTAGATCTCCACTGCCAAAAAAGTCGGCCAACGATTCCGAAGGTTTTCCGCTAACCAACAGGGCAGTCAGGTCCAGAATGGGATTTGGTTCCTCTTCTGCAGCAAGGTCAGAAGAAACGGCTTGTATGACAAGGTTGACGACTTACGACCAAATTGCTCGCGCTGTTTGGCTTCTAAAGCATGAATCCACTTTGGCCCCATCTCTCTTGCACCAGGGAAACTATCTGAACCAAACCAAACGGAGCGCATGTCTTTCACAACTCGTATAACATACCAGATGAGTTCACGAGCTGTCGACGACAGTTTTGCTAGATCTCTGACATGTCGCTTCTCAAGCGAAGGGAGCCTGATGCAGATTGGCGACAGTAGAGTTCTACTTTCGCCTTGGAGCGATAGATAACGATGGGCGAAGAAAAGAGGAAGTTTTGGGTGCTTGATCAGAGATGTAATAGACTCCTGCTGGACGTGCCCACCGAGCTTCACAACGCCCAAGGGATAAGTGCCGTCCAGATAAAAGTGTATCCGGCAGTGGGTATCAGCTACAGCCAAGATACTGTTTTTGTTGCCGTCGTCTGGTTCATCTACGATGTCCAGGTTTTGTGGAGAAGCCATGGAAGCAGCAAGATAATCTGGCTGGAAGGTTGGCCATGCTTTAATTACGTCGGGAAGGGTCGATTTCCGATTGGTACGCGTCTGTGAGCCTTGAAACGCGAATATATCCGTGGCACTGGACAAACAACATGAGTAACAATGTTCAAGGAGGAACATAACGACAGACGCCAGCTTTTGCGAGTCCTCTTGCATACTGTCCAGCAAAGGGAGAGTTTTGAGGACAGAATGTGCAGTTCCAGTCTATGGAGCAGTTGGAGATTGAACAAGAATGAACGAAAAGCCTACTATCACGTCGTTTCTTTTAAATATATCTGGGATTGTGCTGGTCTCAACCTTCTTTTCCTGTCGAAACCACCACATTGCAGTGAGATTGTAGGGTGAGCCAGAGGTAGACGGTGGCAATATACGCTCTTCATGACCATCCTGGACAGAATGCAGGGTAATCGAGGGAGGATCATGAGCTACAGCAATGGTCTGTCCTATATTTGAATGAATGGACTTGTAGACGTCAAATTGAACAACACGGACCATCTGGGCTCCAGCTAACGTCCACAATGTGTTCGGTCATGGAATCGCTGGTGGATATATCGACTTCCCATTTCTTAGTTCCCTGAATTTTCCATAAACTGAGCCTGTCAAGTCCACCAAGCCGAGTAATGAGGACGACAAGATCCTTGTCCGGACAACATGCCGAGGCAAGGAGACGACAAGAGGATGGAAGAGCGACGTTGGCGAGGATTGCAAAGGCATTTGTCTCGAATTCCATCTAAAGTAGCGAGACGCGACAATGAGCACTTGAAGTCACGCGTCGCCGAAAAGGGCTACTCGCAGTCAATAGGGTGTTGTTGCAGAAGATATTACATGTAGCTATCCAAAATAGAGTAAAATAATCAGAACATCCCTCCAAACAGTCCTCTCTGTCGTCGGGGCGCTGGTTGTGGATCTGCTCTCAGTACTGACAAGCTCTGCAGTTGCTTCATAACCTATAATTCGTCAGACAACATTTAATGAGAGCATTTGTTCATTACCTCCTCGAGCTTGTCTTTACGCTCCTGTAGATCTAAATGCTTTCTTATGACGGGGTTTTCTCGCGCGAATTCCACAATCTCTTTGCGGTCGAGGTCATAGAGCAAACGCGAATCGATTTCGCGAGGAAACTGAACGAAAATGAGGTTGATGGACTTGAGGAAGGTCAGTGTACTCACCTGGTAGAAGAACTGGTCCAAAAGCTCAATATTGATGAACATGGTCGATGTATAGGCGAGTTTATCTGCGACGACGTTCAGGAATGCTTCTGGACAGAGCACATCGCTCTCTGGACCGGCCCGACAGCGCTTGGACCTCAGAGCTAGCGACCGCAGCTTGAGAACATTTAATCGGTCATTGTAAAGTATAGCATGACGACCTATAGCAGTCAATGTATGTTCGTAATGAATTCAGGTCACTCACCATCGAGAATCTGTGCTGGGGGATATCGATAAGATTCTTGGGCAACGTCCGCTTCCGGCTGTCCATCTTGGATCTTGGTCTTTCGCACCTTCTCTTTCTCCTCCAGCGTCTTGACATAGCCCACCAAGTTTGTTAATCTTCGACTTCCTCCAACCTTCTTCCTGATCTCCTTCAGCTTCGTCTCACACATGAGCATCTCTTTTTCAAAAAGATCAATAGCCCGTTGTCTCCCTTGTTCCCATTCCCGGTCAACCACTTCGACCTCATACTTGTACGGCTTGATACAATTCTCGACCTGGTCAGACGCCACACCAATTCGATCTCTCAATATCATATGAGAAAACTGAACCAGTCGTTCAGCTGCCTTTGGGTGATGGTTGAATGGCTCTCCTGCCGCAATCGAGTCGATGAGCGACCGTAAACCATCGGCGACCAAAACTGTCGAGTCCCGTCCGACGCCTGATTTTGTCAGCAGCGACGATGCAGCATCTAGCTTATGCCGCCAATAAGCATCAACATCCTGTGGTCTGATTCGTCCATCAATGGCGATGTCGCCGAGTTCTGGAACCCGTTTATCGAGCCAATAAAGCTGTTCCAATACGTCCATGACTTTGTCGTCCAGCATGGATTTCAGCTTGTCGCGAATGATGGGTCGACGGAACTGCTGTGTCGCGTCTTTAAAGCGTAATTTGAGAGCATCCATGGTTTCTGCCACGTAGGATTCTGCTGTTATGCGACGGTCGTTGTATTGGACCTTGAACTGATATGTCGCTTCCTCAAGTTCAAGCTGAACAGCATTGGTGATTCCATGAAGGGAAGAAGCCATCGAAGACTCCAAAACCTCCATGAGCCTCCGTCTTAATGTATCTGTCCCAACCATAAGCGACGTCGAGCTTCCATAAACGTCTCGGTGAGTACGAAAGTATTCACTCTCAGCATTCTGGACTGCAACAGTGGAAGATTCCTTCTTCCCCTTGGCTCCTGCTGCCTTTGAGACAACACCGACATATCCAAGATGAAGTGGGTATCGGTTTCCAGCCAGGATAGTTGCTCCTTGCTCTGGCTGAACTAGATCCATCTTTGTGACGACACCAATGGTTCGGAGCCCAAGTGGATCAACTCTTCGACTTGCTCTTAGAGCAGGCGAGTTAGCAAGATCCACGTCTGCAGCGCAGACAGCTAGAATTATGTTCGGTTCGCGAATATAGCGGTCGCAAAGCGCTGCTATCTTCTCTTTGAGAGTTTCTGGCTGATCCATGGAAGATATCTGAACATATCCCGGCAAGTCGATGAGAGTTAAATCTGGAACATGTGGAGAATAAATCCGGAGGTCGATGGGTTCGTTTGAAACTGCCTCGTCGGTAGGGACAGCGAGATTGAGGTCGGTGAGCGTACGCTGGATGACGGCAAAGTCTTTAATCTTCCCGAGACCGAGAGAAGGAAATTCACCATACTCTCCACTTGACGAAGGAGTATGGACAAGGGTGAGTTCGATAGGTCTACGAGTCACCATGTTATTCCCTCTAAATAAGGAACATTAGTTATGTTCAACGACACAGAGCATAGGACGCACTTTGGCAGGAATTCGTGACCGACGATGGCTTCCAATACCGAGCTCTTCCCCGAGCTCTGGCTACCAATGACAACGATGCTCGGTAATTTCAGGCTATCACTCTGGTCGATGCTGAGCAGCATGCTTCGTATCTCGATCAACTTTTTCGTCAAATGCATGAGCCCATTTTGCTTGATGTCAAAGCCAGAATTCGAGTCCTCAGCCTTAGAATCCGACGGTGACGACATTGTCGCAGCCACAAGAGCTGCAATTGCTGCAGGATCTGAGGGAGGTTTGGAGGGCCGTTCGCTGCCTGAAGAACCGCTATCCTCCTTGCTGCCGTCGCCCGAGCTAGACGTGAACAAGTCCTTCAGAAACTGCGGCGTCTCTACATCAGGCAATTTGACTGCAGCGACGCGAGAGGTGATTGATTTAATTCCGTCTGCGGCCGAGTCGAAAAGATCTGTGGCAGAGTCTTGCACGGCACCTATCCAGGCTTGTGACTGCTTCCTGACCTCTGTACAGATGATTTGAGCATTGGACAAGGCATAACAGTGAGATCGCACCTTCAAACTTGTAATTTGCATATCCAAGTCCTCCAGCTCCGACTGTTGCTGCTCCAACGGGCACTCGAAAAGCGCGAGCTACGAATCGAGGAATCGAGGAATAGGAAAGGGCACGAACGTGCATATGACGGAAATTATGGCCAAAACTAGCTGGATTGCGGTTTTTCAGCAGTCCGGAGGCGTGAAAAGTTGTAAATCGACGATGAACTGGTCGGTCGAGTGCTGCATTTGAGCGAGAAGTAATTGGCCTGTATACTGTTTTTGGAGGCCGCGGAATCGACGCAAGCTGGCGTCTAGCGGTCTGCATTTTTTGTAGGCTTGACCGTCCTCCTGGGCAATTTTCGTCGTTTCGCAACAAATTCAAAGACTCGTCATGGCGGCACGGAAGCCTGGTGACGTCACGCTGTCACAATCTCTTGGGATTTTGCCAAGTCCGTTCATGTTGCCAGGTTGAGCTGGGAGAAGTTATAACGAGTAAAGCAGAAAGGAAAGCCTTTGCTCCACTATCGTAGTGCTCGTGACAGACTGGATTTCTGTGGCGTACCGCTCAGATGGCCAAGTCTTGCAAGAATAAATACTCAGATTGTGAAAAATATGCTCAATATCTGGAGTTTCCTAGTTTTCTGAAAATCCCTTTTTTTTAAGAAAACGACTGGTCATCGATCGTGAATGCCGTCCTATCGACGTCTGAACGCAAAAAGCTAGCATCCCGCCTGCCTGGGTCGAACAGGCGACCTCAAGATCATATCAAGTCAGAATTGAATCTGATGCGCAAGTATCCAGTTACAGTCTCGCGCTCTACCAACTGAGCTAAGGCGGGTTAGAAAGTTTTGGATTCGTGCTATCAACCGGCGTCGGTTTCTACGATGGCTCAAAGTGACGCCACAAACAGCTTTCGGTTGTTTGCGGCAAAGAATCCAAAAAGTAACGTAAATTTGGTAAATCGTACAAAAGAGCGTGAATTTAGCATGGAAGTAAGAAAATGCAAGAGTAGGGATACAGTGTTAGCTGAAATCAAAATAGATATATAGATCAATGCGAGGCAGCAGCAGATGTCGTAGCAGAGGGGTCCAGAGGTGGAGCTGGGGTAACCGCAGCTCGTTCAGCATATTGTGGTGGACTGCCAAACTTATCGTATGCTGGAAGAACATCTTTGTCCCCAACTTCGGGCGCGTCTCTTTGCCCACCAGGACCAATCCCAGCCCCACGTGTAGGACGTCTGTCAGTTGAATAGGCCGCAGCCAAAGGTGTCATACCGAAAGGAGGCTGGGAATAGGGCGAAAAGACGGGTCTGGTTCTGGGATAGGTATAATGCACTGTGGAAGGCTGCTCAAGGCCTTGTCTGATCCTTCGGATTCGCAGAATCCTGAAACAGTCATTAGAGAAAAATAAGACTTAAAAAAAACCGAGAAGAGGTACCGTCGCCAGCTGATCATGACCAGGAGAAGAAAGGCCAGAGCCAGGAAGATGTATTCAACCATGGCCTGATATTTCGATTAGAAGTCGATTCAGCTGAGCATCAGGTTGAATTACCTTTCCAAAATCGCCCTTGTTGTTGTTGTTGCTGTCAGCTACGTTGCTCGAGTCGGGAGGGAGGCCTGTGGGATCAAATGGAGCGGCCGGTACGGTAATGCCACTGGCACTGGCCGTAGAACTCAAGCTCGCAGAGGGAGCAGCAAACGAAGAGATGGATTCAGCCCTGGGGATGTGATGGGCTATCATGGCGAAAAATGTCGTCGCTGTGTGACGCAAAAAGGGCAAGCAAAGGCAAGCAGCATATTAATAGGCGTGGGAACTCGTTTTACTTCCGCAAATCTTCTTGATGACATCGATGACATTGACAACGGCTCGACGCTCCGATAAGTCAGCCAAATTTTTTTTGACAAATTATACATCCAGGACTCAGCCTCATAACGGGTCCGGAAAGCTCTATAACATTGGTCCGGTGGCAATAATGTTTTCTGCAATGGTCACATATGATCCTTTGAATATCATAACAAGGAATGTTTGAAAAACCGCGTTAATGAGGCGGGTAAATCTCGTCCTCGACTTAATGCCGAACTTGCCTGGGTTGAGTGAGGGCTTCAACAGAATCTCGTCTGAAACCGGTGGTCGGTAGGTAGAAGTTATGGTTCCGTTTGAAGCTAAGAAGGTAATCTTACAGGCGCACAGAAATGCTAGAATTCGATGAACAAGAACCTAGGTACTGGAAGAGAAGAATCTCACATTGAGCTGCTGAGCATGGTTCTGTTTCTGCACCTGTATCCGACAGTCATATCCATCCCAGCAATCCTCGTTGATAACGATACCATCTACAGAACAAAGGGTCAACCAGAACAGAAGGGCATGGAAAAAGCCCACCTTTTCCTTGACGATACAGCAGCCATAGATACAAGTTGCCAGAAATGAAGATCTTGATGCAGTTTTGACACAACCAATCTTCTTTGTTCCAGGCCGCATAGGCAGACGATTTCACCTCAAAGAGCTCCTTCATCATCGTGGGGTAGAAATCTGGGATCGTAGATTCCAAGGCTCGGAGATAGTTGATCGTAGTGAGGGTCTTCTTGAGCTCTCCCTTGAGGAGATCGCGCAAACGGCGACCTCTAAGCGAGGGTGAAGCGCCGTACATGTAGTGCCAATCTGGATCATGTTAGTCTGGAAAAGATAGAATGAAATGACAATGCTCACTGGATTCGCCAAAGAGTTTCAATCCGTCTGCCTTGCTACACTTGGCACCTATAGTTGCATTAGAGGATATTCTCGAACTAAAATCCGACGTACAGGCTTCATGTTCCCCTACAACATTTTCTAGTATTGATTTCCAATGGTCCGTCGGCCAGGATGAAGGAACCTTGCGAGCGGTCATTATTTGAGAAATGGGAGCGGAAATGTATCCTTCGAGATAGCCTTCAATCTCTTGGTCTTCTTCAGTCAGTTGGTCGTCGTCGATGTAGTGCAGGATGTCGTCAAATCGCTTGTTTTGATAGCTCTCAAGAACATAAGCCGGACCTGCAGCAAGGGCACCCTCTGTATAATCGTTGTGGCCTTCAGTGTCCAGGTAAGTAAATGACAGTCAAATAGACACAGAAACATCACAAACTTGTATCAGACGCCATGACGGCCCAGTTTGCGACTTCCAACAAGAACACCGAGGCGGTATAGAGTTCCAGAAGCTCTTCTGTAGAAAAATCATATAGGAAAGCCTTCCTCTTCAGTCTTTCCGCTCTGAGCAGCCTTTCCAACACGCCTTCAAGGCTGTCGTCCTCCTCCTCATGTAGTCGGACCGATGAAACGAATGCACCAAAATGGAAGATATTGGCATACATAATGAGTCGATATATTGCTCGACGAAAGCGCCAGGATTCAAGAGAGCCGAGTTTACTGGCCCGTGAAGTGCGGTCCTTGTGTCTGAGTGAGGTCAGAGGGAAAACGAAAGAACATGGCTAAAAGCACCTAATGCTGAATATATTCTCAAGTTCAGCGGCTGTTTCGGCATATCGAACAATCAAGCGAGCCTCCTCTGGTGTTATGGGAGAGATCTCGTCGCTGTCGGCAGAGTTGTTATCGAGGACATCATCTGCAAGCTCGTGTCGCGCAGCCCTTATAGCCTGTCTAAGTGCTGGTCCAGCAACATTATAGGCAACAGCACGGATAGTGGAAATCGGGTGAGCTTGAAAGACAGTGTAGAATGTTTTGGAGACACGGATACAAGAATTAAGATCTGCGAAAGAGGGCGCAGAAAGGAGAATGTTGTCGATAACGTCGAGTGGAAGCTCTTTCAAGGGGCGCATAGACGACTTCTGCCAGTGTCAGGGAATAAGTAATGCGCCTGGCCAGCAGAGGGTAACGGTGAAAGCACTGTACTTCACGTGGTAGGCGCGGTCCGGATTCCCGCCGTCGGGTTTTACTCCGTCGTGTTACAATATACAGACTCGACAAACGTACTAGAATCAATACACTTTGGTTTCATTGACCCGACCACGAGTTGTTTCAATTCGGTGGAGAAATTGTAGCAACGTACTCGCTATTTTCTCGCATTTCCGAAGGCAATGTCATGGACACTAGAGGGTCTAGTGATAGTCGTACGGGAAGTCAAGTAAATGAAAACTCTTTGAAGGTGACCTCGTCCTGATAAGACTGAATCCAACGCGGACAGCGAATTGGGTCCTTTGCCTTAGAGACCGCCATCAGACTCTGACATTGCTTCTCAGCATCATCCTTGGCCTGTAAAAAGCTCGAGTCGACCATGAATGTGAACCTGGAGAAACAATGTACCTCGGAGAGTTGTGTCTGAAGCTGGCTGACTACAGACTGGTTTTCGGTCTTTTGAGATAGCATTCGAATCTATTCATCAGCAAAGGAGAAGGTCCGGACGTGAATGAGCGACGAAAGTGGCTTTGATTGAATTTGCATGTTTGTAGACATGGTTGAAGGCGTCAGATATTGCATCTATAGACAAGTGAGGGTCGCCTTGAGAAAGCTTTATATTACCTACAGAGTATTGTGGTCGCTTGCCTGGCCAGTGAATGTGCAAAGTCGACACAAAAGGGGCAGGTGGCAGCAGTTGTTGTTCCACTCTAAGTAGGAGCCCTGCGCAGTGCGAGACGTACAACATGGGCGCTGGGTTGCAGGAGGCACTCGCAGCTTACCAATAGGCTTTTTCATTTTCAAAAATCATGCAACCTCCCGCAGCGCTGGAGCCTACGAAGGTAGTTCCGAGAGGCAAATCTGGGCGGTGCTGATCTTCGATCCGCATATTGATAGGCGGTGGCTCGAAGAAGGAACCCTCTATGGCTGTGGAGGCCAAGGCCACTGTGTCCCTGTTTGGTTTGGTCGTTTGGAGGGCGAGCAATTTGTTCTCCTATGAATCGTGTTACAATAATATACATGAGATTCATTTTAGAAAAGATACGTAGAATCAATCCACTTTGGTTTCTCCAAAAACACCCGTTCGACGGTAAAGTTACTTGCTTCCTCCGCTGTCAAAATATGTTCCAGCGGGATTCGTTGAGAGACATTTCCTCCTGGGCCTGTCACATGTGTCAGTCGAAGACCAGAGAAGATAGTTTCACGCCTACCTGTAGAGTCAAACTCGGCATAAAATGTCGTATTGAGGATCTCCGTTCTACAAAGCCATCTGAGAAAAAGGAAGCTCGAAAGTAGGATAACAAACCTATTCCCGCCAAAAGGTGTCCATCCTGCAGGTCGAATGATATCTTCCATGAATGTCCGCAGGAAAACAGTCGTCGCTAGATCATTCCAAGGCCTGCCAAGGAAGCAAGCCTTGGTGATATTGACCGTCGCATTTGCATCGGGAGACTGGGGGCATAACATTCAGATCACAAGTTTCACAATTTGAAGGGATCTCACTCGAATGAGCTGTGAATCAGCTATGTAGGCGCCATATCGATTTCCGGGTGCGTCCGTGAGATTTGTCCCCTTCCAAGCCACGATGCCGCCTCCAGCGGCTCTGTTCGCCAGGATCACATTCTGGAACCACGCTGTTCCAAAGCCAAACAAATCTAAATCTGTAAGCCAGGTTAGGATGCAGGATTCCAATGGACCTACAATCTGTTTGACCAAAAATGACGCTGTCTACGACATAGGTGCTCGCATTGCGTCCAGTGTACCATGTATCTTGATATGAAGCAAACGAGCAACCATAGAACGAGGCGTTCGCGTAAGATATATCCGTCACCAAAGCCTGAGAGATGGAAAAATTGGCAGCACGATTCTGAAAATCGATATTGTATGCTTTGAAATCGACATTGCCGAACAGAGGTTGAAGAGGTGCGCCAGTGGGACCAGCACCGATGAGAG